TTCCTCCTCTTTGCTTTTTCTGCTCAGAAATTCATGGCCCATAGTCCCCTTTGTGGTCTCCCTTTCTGGCCCGTTTTTGCTTTGACATTGTTCTATAGCTCTGGCATTGTAAACGTGCACTAATCCGCAGACACTGGTGGGTTTGCAAACCATCCAGGTTTCACCTGCTAATCAATGTATGTTATACATGAGATTTTTTCTGTCGTTGAACTGCAGCAAATAACTGCCTGATACTGCTGACAAGTAAAGAATTTGGGCGATGGAGATCTGTATGAAGGCTGAATGTCGTTCCATGCTGTAGGGTCATCACAGACATATAGAGAAGGCCGGATCCAGGTTCAATAGACTGGTCACACAAGAAGCACTGAGAGAGCAAGCTAATCCCTCTCTACTATGTTCACTCTTGTTTTAGAATCAGAGGCTTGAAAATAAACCCCAAACTTCCTTTGCCTGATTCTTTAAATCTTACCTCGTCCCTTCAGGGACCATTTTATTCTTCTAGTTGAAGCTATCCCAAGTAGAACAAAAAGCCAGAAGAATTATACCCTTATTTAGGTAGCGCAACAAAAGAATTCACTGTCAGACAAACCTTTTTACTCCCACACACAACTTGCCTGCGTTGATTTGCTTTGGCAAGAGGGAACGTTCCCTTCTGCACAAGCATAGGGCAGGTATATATCATAGGTTGTGCAGAGAAGATTATGTAAAGCTCGTTATATAATATACAGTGCTCTTGAGGTTCTTGTGGTTTAAATCAGCTAATAGTAACCCGAGTGCATCTTAACTAATGTTTACCAGGACATTTTGTCTTTGTTCAGTTCACGTGGGGTATTTCCATCTCCCTGTTCATCGCACGTGGATTCAGGTTTGCTGTGGGGAGCAAAACTGCAGCTTGTCCCCTGCACATGACACACTTACAGTGCATCGCCTGGCCTCTCAAACTGTGGGCATTTAACAAATCAATCCCATCATCCTTTGTATGGAAGTAGATGCCCCAGGTGGCTGGCTGCCAAAGTCAGCTCCTCTGCTCTGCTCTGCTCCACTTTCGGATTTCACTTTGATCACTGTGAGAAGCAGAAACTGTTAGATTTCTGTTGCACTGAATTAATTGCCCATCTCCCATCTCTCCCGTCAGTATCGCTGACAAGTACCCAGAAAATAAATGGTTATTTCAACCCTTTGTAATGGTTACACCCTCCACGTCCCTTCCTGCACAATCACAAGCAGGTGCAATGACATTCTGATGCCTACAAACCAACACTGGGCACCTCACAATGTAACGGACTGTTCCTCCTTTAGTTCTTCTGTTTTAACTATTGTTAGTTTAATTTATGTGTGGGGTGAGTGCATTAACAAGCAGGGGATTTATCTGTTTTCTGGCTAAATCCTTTACGTGGAGTGTGAGAAATATCCTGATCCAAAGAAATGGCTGTAAACTGAGCTGAGTAGGATAGCGGGTTTGTGACAGAAGAAAGGGAAAGGTGTTGAGGCTGTCGGACTGGTCTGGAGGGCAGGTTCTAGCACCTATTTTTCTCATAGAGTAGTGCAATGCTTCATGGTGTCATTTGGGCTTCAACACCTAAAGTCATAAACTGGTTTGTGGGCATGTCTAAAGGTGCGCTTTAATGTGCAGTAGCCTATTCTACTGTGCATTAAGGCGTCACAGAAGAAACAGTACTAATACACTCATGCGCAGTAGAATTAGTATATTGTGCATTGCGTCACTAAAAAGGTGTTCGCTTTTTGCTACTGTGTATTAGGGCAGACTCATGTGCCTTTATGTAGTACCTCATATTAGAGGTACTAAACAATGTGCAGTAGCAAAAGTGCATTGATGAACATGTAGACGTGCTCTGTGCGAGTGAGGCCGACTGAATCGAGCCCTTAGGGAAACAGGGGAAAGAAGGTCCTTGAACTAGCAGCACTCACTGAAATCTGTCTCTGTGAGGGGCTTGGGTGGTGTTCTGGGAAGCTGAGGCAGAAGAAAGCTGGGAATGTTAAGGGATCATTTTTTACAGCCTCAGTCAGGTCTTTCCAAGCAGTATTTGTTTTCTTTCACTCCCTCCTCTAGTGTTTGCCTCCACTGAATGTTCCCTGAACAAGTACTGCCAAATGCCACTTCCGAATTCCTCGCAAAATCCTTTTTATTAAAAATTGCTTGTGAGACTCAGACTTATGCACTGTCCACTGGCTGCCTTTACCAAGCAGGAGACGCTATGTAGTTCAGAGATCCTTCTAGGGCATGGCACATTTTTCCCAAGCCAGCTGTCCTGGGTAGGCTAGGAGTTTGCCTGCAGTACCAAGGTAACTGAGGTAATACTCCAGGCTGGTTATATCAGAAGTGGAAAGCAGGGTAGATATGTACTTTTACAGACTGACTAAATAAGATATATCAAGCACAAGCTTTTAACTACACCGCTTTGAGCACGTCTACACATTCATTAATGCACCATAATTAGGTTGCATTGAGTTTAGTATCTGTAATGACAGGTACTAACTTAGTGAGCTGTAATCGGCGCTACAGCACATTAGGGCAAACGAACGGTCTTTTTGTGACGTTAATGCGCAGTAGACTAGATCTACTGCTCATTAGCACATAAGCATGGGTTTTCTAGAGTTAGTCTACTGCGCATGAAGCATCTTGTGTAGACACCTCCTCTGTATCACAAGTTTCACCAGCACTGAGGAGTACCAGAGTCAGCTGGTCTTGTGCTGAAGCAAATGCAATCATGGCCAGAATATAAATCATGCCTAAAATAGAGTGTATAAAGTTAGTGTTTGGGATTAGTCCAAACCAAAACCTGTGATCCAGACCTTACAATCCCCAAACCCTTTTGTCCACATGGTAGAGGCACCAAGTAAAGTGGTCCCAAAGGAGCCTTGGATAGATGGAGCATGTTCTGGAAAGAAGGGGTTTGGAAAAGCTGTTGCTTTTCTTTTTCTAACAGTGCCCCCTGCTACACCAGAAGTCTCTAGCAGAAAGCGGGTTGAGCTGTTAGCTTGTCAGCAGCAGCAACATCATCATGATTTGTTCATTAAAACAGACCCCAGCACCACTAACATTCTTTGCAATTCTGAGAGACATTAATCAGATTGCCTTTTCTATATGGGAACCGGGTTCTTTTAGTCCAGTTTCGCTTGCTATTCTGGGAGTACTGGCCAAATTACACTTTGCCAACCTAAATTTTCCCTCAGGGTTCAAGTGGATAGCACACTGGAGTTTCATTCCCTGCCTTGTTCCTATTTCTGTTGCACAGTGTTAGTGTAAGCTGATAAAGACCCTGTCCTTTCTATTCCAGAGGTATCTGCATTTCAGTGGTGGTTGAAAAGCAGTTCCTGTATGTATATAGCTTGTACAACGGTTTGTATATCATTCTATAACTCTCCCAGGTATACTATCCACTGCAAATATAAACCAGTGTCTTTACAGCAAGTATCTTCCAAGTTGAGATCCCACTGTTTCGGGAAAGCACCCTTACTTAGGGACTGGAAGAGCTGGGACTGGAAACTAGGGCACCTGGGTTCTATTCTGTGCCCCATCACTGACTTATTGCATGCCTGGAGCGGGTTGTTTAAACTCTCTGCACCTCAGTTTCCTCATCTGCAAAACTGAGATTACAAGCATAATAATTCTTGCTGGTCTCACTTGGGTTTGTTTTGAAACTGGACTGGCTGACGTTTTGAGATTGTTGGGTGAAAGTATCTATTAAAAGACAAAAATATTGTCCTTATTCAGATGGACATTATTATGCGCAGCATAAAGGTTTCATTATAAAACGCAGCGTCGTTTTAAGGGCCTAACCGAATCTTTCTGCTCGCTTTATTTTTATTGTTACCTGGCACCTGCGTGCTCCATTGGACTAAGTCCTGACCAAACATGTAGTAAGTAATAAGAGACAATCACTGTCCTGAAGATTTTACTGTCTATATAGTAGATGAGAGAGGCAGAGAATGAGAGAAAACTATTGTAATCCTTACCTTACAGATGAGGAACAGAAGCTCATAGAGTTTACATGACTTGCCCAAAGTCACATGGGGAGTCTGTGGCAAAGCTAGGACTGGATCACAGATCTCCAGAATCCTATCCTGATGCCTTGAAACTATACAGTTTTAATTATTCCATATATACCATTTCTAATTATTCCATATATACCGGTTACCTTTTTAAATTTATACTCGTTTCCTCCCTGATTTGTTGTCAGTTTGCTGTATCTTTGATTCATGTCACAGAGGTTTCAGTGGCAACAGGCAGTGATTACACAAACCCAAGGATGTGCAGTATTCAGAACACACCCTGTGTTTACTGGGTCAGGGACAGGCAGTGACAGGGGAAGTTGCAGCCTACTTAAAGGAGTAATTCTTTTACAGGAACATGGCCAAATGGATAAAATGCAATAAAAAGTGCTGTCATAATGAAGTTTGAAGTGAATAATATTCTCTGAAAGGCTGGAAATGAAACTCAGAGCCTCAGTTTGAAATGCTTCAATGTAGATGTAAACAGCTGTTTTACAGCAGTAAGATTATTCCTGTTGTTATTAGCAGTGAACATTACTGTTGCTACTATCACAAGGCAGAATAAAACCCACGACTGCATTTATGTGGAGAGGCAGCCTGATGAATTGAACCAAATGAGCACTTGTGATTCAGATAATGACAGGGCCAGAGGTTACATGTATACATGGCATTCCTTTCTTCCCTGTGGGCTGCTTGTGAAAAAGGAATTACATTTGTCCTTTATCGTCTCTACTCTACCACTTATTGGGAGGATGGTACTTATGAAATGGCTCTGCCGATGCAAAAGCATTTGCTAATGTTCGTCAGCAATGCCGCTATCCTGGTTCTTCTTTTGTCTGCCCTGGGATTGGGGTAGGAGAGAGCTGCTTGTGGCCCATGGACCAGGCAAATAGTCTCTCTCTCCCCACCCATGTTGGGGTTGAACTGTCCTGCTCAGAGTTCAGAGCAGTGATTCTCAGTCAGGGTGCCACTGCACCCTAGGGTACCTTGAGATCCTTTTGGGGGTGCCACACAATGTTAGCAGTGATCATTATTATGCACGGGATCAAATGGACACAAAGCATTTCCCATGATGCGCCACAGCGAGGAAGCTCCATGATGCAGTTGTCACCTTTTGCTGTCACAGGAGACTGGGATTCATTAAGAGGCATGCCATGGGGTCCAGACCACAAAGTAGAAATGGATATGAAGAAATCAGGTTCCTCTCCCATGAGGCACTGCAGCAGGATATAGAAATCAAGAGTGGTTTTGGGCTGAAACTATTCCAGTTTCTAAGCATTCCATTTTCCAATGAAAAAAATGGAAATTTTCTGTGGGGAGCAGGCACTTTTTATAAAAAAAAAAGTATAAACATTTTCAGCTAGGCATAGAAGAAAGATCTCTGTTCAGTAGATATGTACATGATGCATCAGCTCTGCAAGAAAAAACACCTAGGCACTTAATGAACTAGAAGCACTCTGCCCACTGCATCTCACACTTGAAGTGTATTCATTTTTTTTTCTTTTCCATGGGAAACTTCAATGACATTTTTCTTTGTAGAAATTTTCCATGGGAAAGAGGGCTTGTTTTCTGACCAGTTCTAGTTTCCCCAGCCCTATGTTGCCAGGAAAAATCACTGCAGCCAACACGAAAGCATGAGGCAAGGCAGATTTTGAAATCAGTGGGCCCTCTCCTGCTTACCTGAGAACAACCATCACAAATGCCCAAAGAGTTGTCAAACGTTGAGCAGATACTGCCCACATAAAATGCTAATGATTTAGGTATTTAGGGGGGAAGTAGGTAAATGGAAGGTCACATGAGCCAGTATTTCTCTCTCCCCCTCTTTTTTGTTTTCCCTCTCCGAAGTATTTAAGACAGTGAATCATTAACTCAAAATTTCTGCAGAACTGACCAAAGTCACGTCTGGGCTGCTGGTTCACAACTCTGAAAGAGCTTCTTGCTGGGGCCTCAAGAGCGGAGAGGCGGTTGGTTTGGGGCCTTTGTATCACAGCTAGAAGAGATCCACAGCCTAAAAACATTACTTCTCTGAGTATTGTGACACACTGGGGCTGCTTCCTTATCTTTTATCAAAGTACTTCAAAGCTCAGGGTTACCCAGTGCATAAGTGTTTATGTTCACGAACACCTTCTCTTTCCAAAATGCTTGGCGTAGCCAATTCTATGTCCAGCACAGAGATGTCATGCATCATGGCTGAAGTACAAACTTGCTTGTGCCCCTGTAGGCACTACGCCTCACATAGGCACAACACCTTCCTTCTCACTACTCACCTGCTGTTTCCCCTCAGTAGACAATAATACACCATGTGCTCCAGTGAATCACAGAGACATGATTTGGCCCACAGTTCATAGATTGCAAAGCTGGAAGGGACCTTAGGAGATCATCGGGTCCAACCCCTGCACCAGGCAGGAAAGATAACTGGGGGTCAGGTGACCCCAGCAAGGTGATTGTTTAGTCTCCTTGTGAAGATTTTCAGGGTAGGCGATTGCACCACCTCTGGAGGGAGCTTATTCCACAGTCTGGACATCCTAGCTGTGTAAAATGTTGAGTCTGAAATGGTTTTCCAGGAGTTTGTGACCATTACTTCTGGTTTTCCCCAAGAGTGCCCTGGTGAACAGCTGTTCACCAAGCTCTTGATGTACGCCCCTGATGCACCGATAAGCCGCTACTAAGCCCCCTCTCAGCCTTCTCTTTTTCAGGCTGAAGAGTCCCAGGCCCCTCAGCCTCTCCTCGTATGGCTTGCTGTGCAAGTCTCTGATCATACACGTGGCTCTTCTCTCGAGCTTTACTCCAGCTGCAGTCTCTCCAATTCTGAGTAGAGCGGAAGAATCACTTCCCTAGTTTTGTTGGCGATGCATCGATTGATGCATGGCAAGGTATTATTTGCCCTGTTGGCTACAGTGTTGCACTGCCAGCTCATATTCATACTGTGGTCTATTATTACCTCCAGGTCCCTTTCATTTGTGGTGCTAGTCGGCGTTGCCAAGCCTGTAGGTGTGTGGCGGGGGGTTGGCCCCAGGTGAAGCACTTCACATTTCTCGACATTGAACTTCATCTGGTTCTGACTTGCCCAACTTGCTAGCCTGTCTAGGTCCGCCTGTATCTGCAGCCTATTTTGAAGTGTGACCACACTCCCCCATAACTTGGTGTTGTCCACGAACTTGGCCAGTGAGCTCTTCAGCCCCGCATTCAAATCATTGATTAAGATGTTGAAAAGCACTGGACCAAACACCGACTCCTGAGGGTCACCACTTACCACTTCTTGCCAGGACAATGCAGATCCATTCATGAGAACTCTCTAGGTCCTACCCCGCAGCCAGCTCCCTGCCCACCTAACTGTATCACGGTTAAGCCCACAGTCCTCCAATTTTCTCATGAGAACATCATGGGATAGTATATCAGAGGCCTTTTGGAAGTCAAGGTATACAATGTCAACCTCCTTTCCCTTATCCAGGTGGCGAGTTGCCTGATTGTAAAAGCAGATGAGGTTGGTAAGACAAGACCTGCCCATGACAAAGCCATGCTGGCTGTCATCAACTTTGTCAGTCTCACAATTGCTGGAATATTATAAAGGCAAGGACAGGCAAACTGTGTCTATGGGAGTGGGGTGTAAGGGCCCCAACTGGATTAAGCTGCCATAAGAAGAGCTTCTCTGAAAGCTGCTGTCATAGTCTTGTTTTAAGGACTGTTCTTGGGCGTGTGTTATTCATACTGCAACAAAATGTTTCTACTGTGCTGCCTGCAGCAGTAGCTCTCCCTGCTCCCACATTCAGGGATATGACTTTCACAGTCCTAAGGCATGTCTACATGTGCATTAATGCACCATAATTACAGTGCATTAAGTTTAGTACCTGTAATAACAGGTACTGACTTATGTAGTGCTACTGTGCTGTAGTGACAGCACACATTTTTTAAGTGTTACTACTGCACAGTAGACTAATTCTCCTGCACATTAGTGCATTAGCATGGCTTTTGCTGTGATATGTTAGTGCACAGTAGAATTATGTCTACTGCACTTTTAGCGTCTCATGTAGATGCACCCCTAGTCAGCATTTAGGGAGTACACTCCCATGATTTAAGGATGTTATCCTCTCCCAGGAGTCCTATAGTCACTGTTTCTGCCTGAGCTATAAATCCAAAATCCTGGTCTTTTGTGGTTATCAAAGATTCCTTCTCCTTTTCTCTAGTACAGTGGTTCTCACCCTTTTCAGACTTGAGGAGAAAATACCAGCTCTTAGCTTTCACTTGTTTTTTGACTACAAGAAGGGTAATAGAGCAATCCTTCTGTTTCAAAGAACTCAAAGATTACAACTGGTCCAGATGTTTTTGACACTATGGATTTCTATTTGAAATCTCTGGATTTATCTTGTGAATCATGTGCAGGTGTTTCCACATGGAATAGCACTAATACTGCATGGTACCATGTGGCACCCTTACAAGGATCTCACCCAAGAGTGCTGTGAGATCCTTGATGAAAATCACAGCACTAGTGCATGTGTTCACACTGCTGTTCTGGCTTGCTTCAAATCGGAGGGAAGTAGCCCTTTGGAAAGGGCCCTTGCCTTTATAATTGGGTGATATGGGTTCAGTTCCCTGTTCTGTCTTTTGTGAATTGAGGCAAGTCACTTGGCTTCAGTTCTTCACCTATAAATATGAAAACCTCTCCATCCCTTATGAATGGGATACGAGGTAAAATACATTAAAGTTGGTGAACTGTTCCTATATGATGATGGTGGAGCCAGATAACAACGATATAGTTACGGTCTGCCTCCCTGAACTATAAGCAATGGAAGCTCGAGGCAGGCCCCAAGGAGGACTATTCCACGATGGCCTGCATTTGCAGGGAACAGATAAGAAAGTCTAAAATGGCGACCAAACTTAGATTAGCAATGGGAATCAAGGACAACAAGAAGTCCTTCTTTAGGTACATAGGGAACAGGAGGAAAACAAATGGGAGTGTGGGGCCACTACTCAGCAACTCAGGAGAGTTGGTTACCGGCATCCAGGAGAAAGCTGAACTCCTGAATGACTACTTTGCCTCGGTCTTTCACCAGACCAAGGGAAAAACAATGCCAGGTAGAGTACAGGATGAGCACGGTAGGAATAATCATCTTCCTACTATTGCCGTACAATTGGTATACGACCAATTTAAAAAATTAGACATATACAAGTCAGCAGGACCGGATGATCTTCATCAGAGGCTGCTGAAGGAGCTGGCTGAAGTCACTGGGGAGCCCCAGGTGAAACTCTTCCACAACTCCTGACGCTGGGGAGAAGACCCTGAGGACTGGAAGAGGGCCAGTGTTGTGCCCATCCACAAGAAGGGCAGGAGGATGGACACGAGTAATTAAGTCAATCACCCTAACTTCCATCCTAGGGAAAATCCTAGAAGTTCACCAAGGAGTCTACCTGCAATAAGCTTGCAGAAGGTAAGATTCTGAATGACAGCCGGCACGGCTTCATTGCGGGCAGGGTTCACCTTACCAACTAGGGCTGTGCAAAACTTGGGTGATGATTCGATTCAGAGGAGATTCGGCCCAATTCGGTGGTCAAATCTCTGAATCTGAATTGAATCAGGGGACCAATTTAGGGGTCCAAATTGATTCAAAGCTCTCTGAATCTTTGGAAATGACCGAATTGAATCACTGTCCCCGGAATCAGGCGAATCCGAATCCAAAGCAAATACTAGCCGCTTTGCACATGCCTATTACCCACCTCATCTCCTTCTATGACCAGGTAACTCTCCACCTGGACATGAGAGAGCAGGTTGACATTGCATACCTTGACTTCCAAAAGGCCTTTGCTCTAGTATCCCAAAATGTCCTCTCAAGAAAATTGGAGGATTCTGGGCATAACTCCCAAGGTGGTTTGGTGGGTGAGAAACTAGCTGCAGGATAGGACCCAGAGAATCATGGTGAATGGATATGTGTCATCCTGGTGAGAAGTAGGCAGCTGTGTCCCGCAGGGGTCAGTACTTGGTCCAGTACTTTTCAACATCTTTATTGACGATTTGGATGTGGGGGTGAAGAGCTAACTGGCCAAGTTCACGGACAACACCAAGTTATGGAGAAGCGTGGTCATGCTTGAAGATAGATTACAGATGCAGGCAGGCCTAGACAGGCGAGCAAGTTGGGCGGATCAGAATCTGATGAAGTTTAATGTTGAGAAATGTAAAGTGCTCCACCCCGGGATGAACAACCCCCAACACACCTACAGGCCT